CCAGCAGATGACTCTGCTATATTGGACATTTTGAGAGTCTATGTATAAAAAAAAAGTTGTCATGCAGATGTCTTAAGCATTTGCACAAGAACCACAAATGATCACTGTATGTTTTTGGTTATATGTTTTTTTTTTTTCCGAAAAAGTTTTATTGAAGTATGAAAGGCAAAACAAGTCATAGACAGATACGGATCGCAGTCCGTGTACATCCTCTTACATGTTCTCCCGTAACGCAGACGGGATCAGGACATTAGATTAAATTGTAGATCATCATGAGACGAAGTCCCACAGTAAGGCAGATGCAAAAGATATAACCATAGCAGTACAGATAACAGTATGTAATTTAGATAAATGCGGTATACACTAGTCTCTATGTAGGGAGAGCTCAAATAACAGGACTATGAAGTGCAAGACAAATGTATCATCTCAAGGCATATATGTCCTATGTTTCCATATCCAAAAAGTGTGGGTTAGTTTTGTGGATTATTGTTACACCTGTACATCTATGAGTGTTCTGTACCTTATGAAAAATATAGCTAGTTAGAATATGAGAAACGGGGGTGCAAAAGAGAGAAAGAAAAGAGACGAGCGTGGGAATGGAGGGAGAATATGAGATGTAATATCATAATGAGGTGGGGGGGAACATAGAGGACAAATAGATAGGGAAGATGGGGAAAAAGAAAAAAAAAAAAAGGGGGGGGGGGGAGGATGAGGTTTAGAATTAAATAGGCATAACCAAACCAATCACATCAATTAGCATCGGCCTGGCTGTAACAGATTCTATCTTTAATTATATGGTTATCTCCAATGATCATTGGCTTCGTCTGTTGGCAATAATGTGGTATTTTTCTGAAATACCTCAATCAAAACGAAGTCCCACATTATGGCCACTAGATGGTGATCATTCATTGTGCCTGTGCAAAAACTTAGTGTTTACTATACTCAGGACCTTGCATTCACTATATCTGGTCTCTCACAGTACACAGAACATGGAAATGCAGTTATGTGCAAAATGTGATGATGCCAGAAGTCTTCAAAGCAAAATAGGAGAGTTTTTTTTTTTAAAATAGCTTTGGTGCATGAAGAGAACTATGATTAAATTGGTGTTGCTGAATCTTGGCTTCATTCTTCACATAATTGGGGTATTATTATTCCTGGCTATGCTCTCTTTCGGAGACACCAAGTAAATTGTAAAGGGGAAGCTGTCTGTCTCAATGTGAAAAGTGATCTCAAAGTGAGTGTGAAAAAGGACCTAGTTGATGCAGAGTCTAATGAGGGTGAAGCATTATGGTTGGAACTGCATGTGTGTGCAAAGTTCACACTTCATCATCGTTTGTTACAAGCTACCCAGTGCTAATGAGGATGTGGAGACTCAGCTCCTTGCACAGACAGAGCTTCAAGGGCTGAGACAGTGATGATAATGGAGGATTTTAACTACCCTGAAATTGTCTGGAGTAATGGCACGACTAGAACAGTTAAAGGGCAATCAATGGTCAATTTTTTTGGTACAGTTCATAGAGGCCCCAACTAGAAATGATGCTGTGCTGGACATGGTAATCTCAAACCATGCAACACTTATTACTAATGTTCATATAGGACATCTGGGTAGCAGTGATCATAACATGATTCCATTTAATGTTAACTGTAAATAACAAGCACATACTGGAAAGAAAAAACACTTAACTGTAAGGGTTTATGTACACTAGGAACTAAAATAAAACACAAGAAAAACGCTGGATAAAAAAAACACTGATATTAGCATTTTTGCCGGTGTTTTTCAGTTTTGTGGTGGCGTTTTGCTGGCATTTAGCAGTGAACAGCAGGTTGTTAAAGGGTAACTCCACTTTTGTGGGAAAATAATTAGCAAGAAGATAATATAGCGTATACAATTGGGACTCCAGTCATATTGTAATTAAATGTTAAGATTTACCTTTCCTTTTCAATCAGCAGCGCTGTAATTTGCTTTAAAATGGAATGCAATATGGTGACCTGGAGGTGTTCTATATACTGCTGGTAATGTAATTTGTTGCTTGAGTGATTGGCTTACTGATTTCCCCAGAAGTCTGCACTAAGATACAAATCACATTTTTTGTATCCCCTACCACAAATATGTAATTTTTGATGAGATACCCCCAAAGGGAAATCACGTTTAGAAGGATGCAGAACTTGCAAATTTCCTTATTGGAGCCCTGCAGGTGCAGCAGCTGATTGATAAATATAAAGACACTCCCATTTTCCTTCACTTAGCACATGGACACAGACAAACAAATAGCTGTTTCTTCAGAATAACAAAAGGTAGGAATCTGTAACTTTCATTAAAATCCTTGCAATGTACATAGATCACCCAAAGGGGAATGTTTTTTTTTTTTTTTCTCCAATAAAAGTGGAGTTACTCTTTAACGAGTGGATGACCACCCACGTCCTTAACCGGTGACTCATCAGCTGTCAGTGGAGAATCCAAACAAAAGAATGCTTGCATTAAAAAAAAAAATAATGCACAGGGTTCCCCCATATTGATGGGGACAAGGGCCTCTTCTCCACCACAATGTGTGGTGGTTGTGGGGTCTGCAGGCAGGGGGCTTGTTTAGCCTGGCTTTCGTGCGGAGCTCTTCCCCTTTTTTTTTTTTTTTTTTTTTTTTGGGTTACCAGTGGCTATGTTCTTCATGATCAATTTTTTTTTTTTTTTTAAATAAAGGACTTGCCAAAAAGTGTAACTTTTTTTGGTGAACAAGTAGGGGTAGAATGAACTCCCTACATGGGGGAGGGACAGGATCTGGGGGCCTACCAGGCTGCATGCTCAGGTAAGGTTCTGGTATGGATTTTGGGGGGTTCCCGTGCCTTTTTAATAAAAATGTATCTAATGCTGGCATTCTTCTGTTTACATTCAGCTGTCAGTGGGGAATCCCGCTCACTGCTGCTGAGTCATCTGATGTTAAGGTTGTGGCTTTTTCTTTCTCCTGGAAAATTGCTCCAGAAAATACAAATCGTAGAGTTTTTTTTTTTATTATGCTCTTAAATGCTGAGCTTAAAAAAAAAAAAACCCTCTAGACTACAAAGTGTGCATGGACACATAGGCTAATATTATTTGCTACTAGAGGTAGAAAAAAAACTCTAAACACTGTTGCTAGAAGCATTTTTTAAGCTAGTGTGCATGGAGCAAAGTTTCCAAGCCTGGAGGCTGCTTTCCAAGACTTAGACTGGGAGGGAATATTGGCATTGATGAACACAGAACAGAAGTGGAAATTCTTCAAAATGACTGTATGCGAACACACTGCAAAATATATTCCCATGGGCAATAAGTTTAAAAGACTAAAAATAAAATGTGGCTCAAGGTGAAAGTTAAAAAAAAAAGCTATAAATAATAAGAAAAGAGCTTTTATAAATTATAAAAATGAAGGACCGCTATCATCGTTTAAACATTTAACAGAATATATAAAAAGGAAATCAAGGCTGTAAAAATTGAAAACGAACAACAGATTGCAAAAGATAGGACAAAACCCCAAAAATTCTTCAAATATATTAATAGTAAAAAAAGTCAGGTCCGAACATGTAGACTCTTTACAAAATAATCTAGAGTGGGTAACTGGAGACAAGGAGAAGGCAAATTTATTAAATACCTTCTTCAGCTCTGTGTATACAAAGGAGCATGGGGGAGCTCTTGTCCATAAGCAGCATGGTATTGACACAGCCACAGATGATCCACATTTGCTCACAATTAATATGATCCAGAAATATTTGGATAGAAATAGGTGAATAAAGCACATGGACCAGATGACATACACCCACATTAAATTGAGTCATTTCAAAGCCATTGTTTCTAATTTTTCGAATCTTTTCAATTACTGGCATAGTACCACTGGAGTGGTATAAGACCAATGTGGTGCCTATTTGTCTTGAACAAGTAACTATAAACCTGTTAGTTGGAAATATACTGGAGAGTTTAATAAAAGACCACATAAATGAGTTTCTGCTAGAAAAAAATATTTTAAGCAACAGACAGCATGGATTCATGAAATACAGAAATTGTCAAACAAATTTTGATTTATTTTTATGAGTTGGTAAGTAAGACCTTAGACAAAGGAGTGGCTGTGAATACAGTATACTTGAATTTTGCAACAGCATTTGACACAGTTCCACACACACACAGAAAATGTATAGGGTAAAGTCTACAGTCTTGGAACAAAGTTTGTAAATGGATAGAAAACTGACTACAAGGTTTTTAGTGGTGTACCCTAAGGTTCAGTGTTGGGACCCTTACTTTTTATTATGTTTATACATTTATATAGGGTCTGATATTAAAAATACCATTTTAGCCTTTGCAGATGACACCAAGCTATGCAGTGGAACAATGTCCTTACAGGATGTCTTCAACTTACAACCGACCTCAATGCACTGTTTAATTGGGCATGTGAGAAATGAGATTTAATGTTGATAAATGTGGAATTATGCACTTGGGGGCTAAAAATATGTATAGAAGTATGTGTGTGTGTGTGTATATGTATAGATAGATAGAAATATGTATGTATATACTATATTTCCTAAAGTAATGGGACGCACATGAACTTTAATGACATCCCAGTCTTAGTCCATAAAGTTCAATATTGAGTTGGCCCACCTTTTACAGCTGTAACCGTTTCAATTTTTCTGGAAAAGCTGTCCATAACGTTTAGGAGTGTGTCTCTGGGAATGTTTGACCATTCTCCCAAAAGCGCATATGTGAGGTCAGGCACTGATGTCAGATGAGAAGGCCTGGCTCGCAGTCTCCGCTCTAATTCATCCTTAAGGTGTTCTATTGGGTTGAGGTCAGGACTCTGTGCAGGCCAGTTAAGTTCCTTCACCCCAAACTCGTTTATCCATGTCTTTATGGACATTGCTTTGTGTCCAATATGTCTTGGTATGTTGACACCTTAAGAGTTCCCTTCACTGGAACTAAGGGGCCAAGCTCAACCTCTGAAAAACAACCCCACACCATAATCCCCCCCCCCCTCCACCAAACTGTACACTTGGCACAGTGCAGTCAGGCAAGTACCGTTTTGGCAACCGCCAAACCCAGACACATCCATCGGATTGCTAGAAAGAGAAGTGTGATTTGTTACGCCAGAGAACACATCTCCACTTCTCGAGTCCAGTAGCAGCATGCTTTACACCACTGCATCCAACGCATTGCATTGCAATTGGTGATGTAAGACTTGGATGCAACTGTTCGGCCATGTAAACCCATTCCATGAAGCTTTTTTATGAACAGTTGTGCCAGTCTGAAGGCCATATGAAGTTTAGAGGTCTTTGGCTGTTGACTCTGCAGACAGTTGGCGACTTCTGCACACTGTGCACTTCAGCATGAGCTGACCTTGCTCTGGAAGCAGCTGGGAACAACAGCAACTTAACCACTTGCCGCCCAGCCACCGCATATAAACGGTTGCAGGGCGGCACTCGTAGGCAAAACCACGCTTTAAAACGTGGTTCTGCAAAACAGGTAGGGGGCGCACGTAAGGCGTGCACCTGCCCTGCTTGTCCCGCGGGTGTCAGCAGCGGGTCTACGCCGCTGGGTCACGGCCAGTTATTTTCCCTTGATGAGCGGTGATCGCTGTCACAGAGCAGGGCTGCATTGTTTACACACAGCCCTGCTCTGTGACAGTTCCCCGACAAGCTGAAGAGGGAGAGAAGAGTTTCTCTCCCTCGATCAGCTCCCCCCTCCCTCCCCCCATCCAGTACACACCCCCGCCCCCTAGTAAAACACTCCCCTCACACAGTAAACACTAAATATGTTAACCCCTTCCTCCCCAGTGACAGTACAGTGTCAGTGGGTTTTTTTTTCACTGATCACTGTATTGGTGTCACTGGGGATGTCAGTGACCCCAAGTCAGTTCCCCCCCAGTGTCAAAATGTCTGCCGCAGTCCCACCATAAGTCGCTGATCGCCGCCATAATTCGCTGATCGCCACCATTATTAGTATAAAAAAAATTAAAAATCCCAGTATCTTTCCTGCCTTTTGTAAACGCTATAACTTTCACGTAAACCAATTAATTTACACGTATTGGTTTTTTTTTTTTGTAGCAAAGACATGTCGCAGAATGCATTTTGGCAGAAATTTATGACTAAATTTGATTTTTGCATTTTTTTTTACTGGACATGTTTTATAGCAAAAAGTCCAAAATATCGTTTTTTTCCTCAAAATTGTCAGCCTTTTTTTTTATAGTGCAAAAAATAAAAACCGCACAGGCGATCAAATACCACCGAAAGAAAGCTCAATTTGTGGGGAAAAAAAGGATGTAAATTTCATTTATGTACTGTATTGCATGACCGCCCAATTGTCCGTTTAGCGCAGCGCTGTATAGCAGAAAAATGGCGTAAATTGCAGTATTTATACCATAGTTTGTAGACGCTATAACTTTCACACAAAGCAATCAATATACACTTATTGGGATTTTTTTTTTACCAAAAACATGTAGCAGAATACATTTTGGCCTAAATTTATAGCCAACTTTGAATTTACTATATATTTTTATAGCTGAAAGTAAAAAATATTGTTTTTCTTCAAACTTTTTGGCCTTTTTTTGTTTATGGCGTGAAAAATACAAAGCGCACAGGTGATCAAATTACACCGAAAGAAAGCTCTATTTGTGTGAAAAAAAGGACATAAATTTTGTTTGGGTACAGCATTGCATGACCGCGCAGTTATCATTTGAATTAGTGCAGCTCCGAGTAGTAAAAAGAGGCCTGGTCATTAAGGGGGGTAAATCCTCTGGAGCTCAAGTGGTTAAAATGACAGTTTGTTATAATGCCACTAACAGTTGACCGTGGAATATTTAGTACCCAGGAAATTTCACGGATGGACTTATTGCACAGGTGGCAACCTATCACAGTACCACACTTGAATTCATGGGGCTCCTGAGAGCGACCTATTCTTTCACAAATGTTTGTAGAAGCAGTCTGCATGCCTAGGTGCTTGATGTTATACACCCTTGGCCATGGAGGTGATTGGAACACCTGAATCCAATGATTTGGAGGAGTGTCCCAATACTTTTGGCGATATATTGTATATGCATACACATACTAGGAGGGTACAGCTGGGGGAATCAGTGGTGGAGAAGGATCTAGGTGTTCTGGTAGATCATAGGCTTAATAAAAGCATGCAATTTCAAACTACAATTTCCAAAGCAAGTTTCCCAAGCAAGGTCTGTTCTTGTATTAAAAGAATTATGGACTGCAGAGAGAGAGGCATATTTTTACCCCTATACAAATAGTTTGTAACACCTCATCTGGAATATGTAGTTCAGTTTTGGGCCCCAGTAACAAAAAAGATATTGGGGAACTGGAGAACGTGCAGAACAGGGCAACCAGTTTGATGAGAGAAAAGGAGGAGCTCAGCTATGAGGAAAGATTAGCTGAACTGGATGTGTTCTCTCTTGAGGAGAGATTAAGGGGGGTGGTCTATATACTGAACTTTTGGTATAGAGTTATTCCCTTTAAGGTAATTACAGAGAACAAGGGGGCACTATTTACAGCTAAAGGAAATGAGACTTAACATACAAATATGGAAAATCTCAGTGTGAAAATTATGGAATAGACTCCCTGAAGAGTTGGTTCTGGCCAACTCAGTAGATTGTTTTAAAAAAGGATTCTTTCCTAAAAGCACAAAATAAAACTAGATACTAATATTTTATAGGTAAAGTTGATCCAGGGAAAATCTGATTTTGCTTCTTGGAACAAACCATCCCCACCCTCACTGGAGCAAGTTAAATCATTCTTCTTTGGGGTTTTTGCCTTCCGCTGGATCAACTGTGGGCATAGGATTGTGTATGTGGAGATTTTCTATTGTGTTTTTGTTTTTGCACATTTCCCATGTGTTGTGGGGATTTGTGCATGTCCCTTCCCTCCAATCGGCTCTCAGCTCTCCTCTCTTTGCTGGGCAGTGTGTGATTTTTAGATCCACACCATCTGCTTTCTGAAAGTTCAGACAAGCTGTGTAAATCTTGAACTGATATACAGGAGAGTGCTGCAGATAAACTAGTACAGCATATGTAGGAGGATTTATTTAATCTCTATGCATCACCCAAGTCTCTTCACTGGGTATATGTAAGCATTTAAAAAGTGTAAATCTCCTGCGCTACTAAGCCTATACTAAGAATATCAAATGAAGCTGCCAACATCCAATCATATACCAGATGATAAATCAAATAATGAAAAAGGAAATGATGTGGCGCTACTACCTATGAATAAACCCTAAACCTGTAAAAAATACACGCAAATAAAGTGATATTATAGTGCATGTGATAAATGCCAACTATATAAGTGAAAAAAGGAACATGCATAAGCTGATAATGATGCCTAAACGCAGTGTATGTGCATAGAAAACAAACCACACAACACTCAGACCACTCTGGACTGAATGTCCAATTTTCACGTGATCGTGAGTAATCCATTGATAGGACTACTATAGGTGCTCCAAATTTCTCAAAAAAATATACCCCACATAAAGTATCAAAACGCATGTACATGTAACATATATACAAAATTAATCAACCCACTAAATCAATATGTTAAACACATCACATTTCGCGCAAATACTCACTAAAACGATGAAAAACACAAATATATCTACATGCATATAGTGCAAAAAAAATATATCTCATGCCGTGCAGAACATATATATATATATATATATATATATATATATATATATATATATATATATATAGCACACCCTAATATAACAAAAAATGTCCAAGTTGGGTGCAATACACATAAAATATGAAATCTTGTGAACTTGAGTGATCTCTGCAGATGGTGACAAGAGGGCATCCACTAATGGAAAAAATGCGCGCTCACCTCCCCGCGTCGACCTGTAAAGGGTCACAACGCTATTAGGATCTCTATCACTGGATCCTTCATGTGTAAAGCTCCTCCGTAACCGTGTCACTTTCTGCTGGATGACATCCCTCTCTGACTGGTATATGTAATGGCAGACCTCTTTCCCGTAGTGTAGTAAGTATGGCCAGTAACTCTCATAGAATATAAGCAGAAGCTCCAAATAGTGTAATACTGCTTTTATTAATAAATGTAGGTAACAGTAAGATATGCACTCACATAATCCTCCTTCTTGTGAACAGCATAAACAGATATTTCCCTTCACAATGGGTGTAGCTGAATGGGTGCACAAAGATGGCGTCCGACCAAAGTACGTCACCGCACGCCTACGTGTTACGTCATGTGTGTCTTGTGACTTCCACTGGGCTCCTAATCCTAATAGCGTTGTGACCCTTTACGGGTCGACGCGGGGAGGTGAGCGCGCATTTTTTTCATTAGTGGATGCCCTCTTGTCACCATCTGCACAGATCACTCAAGTTCACAAGATTTCATATTTTGTGTATTGCACCCATCTTGGACATTTTTTTGTTATATTAGGGTGTGCTATATATATGTATGTTCTGCACGGCATGAAATATATTTTTTGCACTATATGCATGTAGATATATTGATTTGTGTTTTTCTTCATTTATGTAAGCATTTACAACCATTTTAAGTCTGAGATGGCTGGCATATTTTTTAGCATCCATGGAACAGTCAAGGAAGGAAGTGACAGGTCTGTTGCTGGGGTGAGTATGATATGTTTTTTTTTTTGTTTTGTTTATAAAGCTGAATCTTTTATAGCCACTTTAACAACTCCTGGCCAGATGTTGCATGTGTAAACTCGTGGTAGCGGTGAACCAGATTCACCTTTTTTAAATCCTGATAAATGGTATATATTTGAAAACCTAAAATTGTTTGCTTTAACTACAGCAATTTGAGAAAGCATGTGAGATTTTTAGGGATTGGGACTGCATAAAATGTAAAGTCTTAGGGGTTTTATTTTACCTTAATGCATTCTATGCATTATACTAAACTATCTTCTGTGCCAGAGGATCCCTCCCTCACCCCCTTTTATACCTACCTGAGTCTGATCTCGATCCATCAATGTGCACAAGAGCAGCAGCTCTCTCCCTCCTCACTGGCAGATTGAATGGCTTCTGCTGCTGTCAATTAAATTCTGTGATGAGGCAGCGGCACCCAGCTGCCCTGTCTGTGTTTTAAAGAAGCAGACGACCGCTCAGGAGCAAGCCCGTGCGAGTGCCCTCATCAGAAGCTGTTTCCTGTGGGGGCAGTCGCTGAAGAGTAGATGCCAGGAGCGCCGGCGGGTGACCGGAGCAAGGAGGATTGAGGCTGCTCTGTGCATTGGCAGTGCACAGAGCAGGTGAGTGTAAACTTTCTCACAATAATTCCTCTGACCTCTGAATCTTCTTTTTTGATTGTTCAATATGCTTGATTGCTCCATCCATCTCGAATCTGTGAATCCTCCTTTTAAGCTATTGTTTTCTGACAGGGGAGACTAATGCAGGCCATAGATGGGGAGAAAAACGGCAGATTTTTCTTTTAAAAAACGAAAATTCGGTCGTTCAAGCGGCCGACGTTACCATCAATGGTAAAAAAAATCGGCCGATTTTCATCCCTTCTACAGCCGGCAAAAAGTGTCCCTGCAGAGAGCTCCGCTATTTCTGACAGTTCTGACAGTTCCTTCACATTTACAGCGGTTGAAACATTGTATCTATTTGTTTCCATTTAGGATACAGATGTTTTTATTCGGAAACAAATAGATACATTGTTGCAACCGCTGTAAATGTCAAAGAACTGTCAGAGAACTGTCAGAAATAGCGGAGCTCTCTGCAGAGACACTTTTTGCTGGACTGGAATTCTTCTTATTTTCATCCTACTTCTTCTTCTTCTTCATCCTCTTCTTCTTCTTCTTCATCCCTCATCCTCTTCTTCTTCATCATCCTCTTCTTCTTCTTCATCATCCTCTTCTTCTTCATCATCCTCATCTTCTTCTTCTTCATCTTCATCTTCTTCTTCTTCATCTTCATCCTCTTCTTCTTCATCTTCATCCTCTTCTTCTTCATCCTCATCCTCCTCTTCTTCTTCTTCATCCTCATCCTCTTCTTCTGCATCCTCATCCTCTTCTTCTTCTACATCCACATCCTCTTCTTCTTCTTCATCCTCATCCTCTTCTTCTTCATCCTCATCCTCTTCTTCTTCTTCTTCATCCTCTTCTTCTTCATCATCCTTCTTCTTCATCCTCATCCTCATCCTCTTCTTCTTCTTCTTCTTCTTTCTTCATCCTCATCCTCTTCTTCTTCTTCTTCTTCTTCTTCTTCATCCTCATCCTCTTCTCTTCTTCTTCTTCTTCTTCTTCTTCATCCTCATCCTCTTCTTCTTCCTCATCCTCATCCTCTTCTTCTTCATCTTCTTCTCCTTCTTCATCCTCTTCTTCTCCTTCTTCATCCTCTTCTTCATCCTCATCCTCATCTTCTTCTTCTCCTTCTTCATCCTCATCCTCTTCTTCTTCTTCATCCTCATCCTCTTCTTCTTCTTCTTCTTCATCCTCATCCTCTTCTTCTTCTTCCTCTTCTTCTTCTTCATCCTCTTCTTCTTCTTCATCCTCATCCTCATCATCCTCTTCTTCATCCTCTTCTTCTCCTTCTTCATCCTCTTCTTCATCCTCTTCCTCTTCTTCTTTTTTCTTCTTTTTGTCTTCCTCTTGCAGGTCACTGCTCATGCGTAGATTTTTTATCGGCAAAAAATCGGCCGATTTGCCCACTGATTGCCGCGAAAATCGGCCGATCGGCAAAATCGGCCGGTTTTTTTCCAACTTTACAGAAAAAAAAAAAACGGCCAAAATACCGAAAAACGGCCGACCAAATAGCCCACTAACGATCCGAAAATCGGCCGATTTTATTTTCGGCCGAAAAATCGGCCGATTTTATTTTCGGCCGAAAAATCGGCCGATTTTCGACCCATCTATGGCCTGCATTAGCCGCCGTCAGAATACACACTAATTAGCACTGCCGACTATAGCCAGTAGTGCTGACTGAGCACCAAAAATCCATCAGGGTGGTTGTATAGAAGTC